ACGATAATTGTTACAAAAATTAACTGTTTCGGGAGTCTATTTTTAAATGATTGAAGCTAGGTGTTGAAGGAATGTTTTAGTCTATTTTTTTTTACACGGTTTAACTGTTTCGGGAGTCTATATTTTTAAATGATTGAAGCTAGGTGTTGAAGGAATGTTTTAGTCTATTTTTTACACGGTCATTTTCTCCTTGGCTACAGATCTTTCAACCACTTTTTTACCCCTCAAGAAATACTGGATCTATTACCCGAACTATGAAGTATGAGCACATTATAAACACACCACCAACAGCACCGATACCATAGAATCGGTGCATATAAAACCATATTAAACACCAACAATTTAAATTAACAAATCTTAGTCATTCTTATATCATCTCAAATTTATAACTACGTGTGAATTTTGTCATAGAAGACACTTTAAACACTTATACAACTACGTGTGAATTTTGTCATAGAAGAGACTTTAAACACTTATACAAGTACATGTGAATTTTGTCACAGAAGACACTTTAAACACTTATACAACTACGTGTAAATTTTGTCACAGAAGAGACTTTAAACACTTATACAACTACCTGTGAATTTTGTCACAGAAGAGACTTTGAACACTTATACAACTACGTGTGAATTTTGTCACAGAAGAGACTTTAAACACTTATACAATTACGTGTGAATTTTGTCACAGAAGACACTTTAAACACTTATACAACTATGTGTAAATTTTGTCATAGAAGCCACTTTAAACACTTATACAACTACGTGTAAATTTTGTCATAGAAGACACTTTAAACACTTATACAACTACGTGTAAATTTTGTCATAGAAGACACTTTAAACACTTATACTTACTCTTTTGGCAATTTCAAGTTTGCAGTATTCTCCATTTTCATCAAAAAGTGCTTCCCATGAATCATCGTCCACTTCTCCACCTGACTTTTTATCATCTCTCTGACCATCTGCATCATTATCTTTCACGCCACATGGTTGGTCAACGTCTTGTGAATGAACAGAACCATCTGGTACGTCTGACTCGTTGATATAATCTCGTTCATTTATGCAAAGGTTATTACTCAGTGCTGCATCAATTTTTTCACTGCTAACTAGATCTTCAGGAAGACTTCCGTCTACAACCTGTTCTGACTGTTCCTTTCGTAAATTCGTACAAGGCATAAGTTCTAGCGCGTTTTGCTGATCACTGGTCAGTTCATCTGTGTTTTGAATCACTCTGTCTACACTTTGTGAAACATTTTCTTCCAAATTCTCTTCGCATTTCCACAAATCATCATGCTGTATCTCTTGGGACTGTGTGCCGTACATCTCAAGCGCACTCCCTCTAATCTCTTCATTAGTTATCGTCATATTTTTCATGTCCTCAGCATTTTCAAGAAAAGTTCTACTTTTGCTTAACTGAATATTTTCCAGTTTCCATTCTGTTTCCCTCTTTGGCTTTCCACATTCATCCAAGTTTGAACAGATATGATCTTTTTCACCACAAGTTTCTTTTTTTCCAAATACTGTCGTTTCTCCTTCGATCGGACTAGTCAACGGAAGTTCATTTCTTGTCAACTTTTTGTTAGATTGATTAGTTATTGCTCCAATATTTATTAACGGCATACTTAATCGTCCGTCAATATCACGGGTAGAAGAAGGCCAATCACTGTCATCACCATTTCTAACGCTAACACGACACGATTGGCTGAAGACACTGGTAGTGAATGTACTCCCAACACTACTGTTAGGGAAGGATTCAATACCGGTGTCACCATCTCCAGATGTTCGGCAGGTTGCTGTATAACAGCCAATAACTATTACACCAGTTTGTGGCGAAGACTCAACAGTATCACCGCCCGTAACACCGCAGTCCAAGCCGCTAACTAAAGAACAAGTGTTCGAAACAACAGTTTCTGTATCGTTAATACAAGATTGAGGTTTGGCTTTAACACTGCTAGTTTTATGATCACTTGAAGAAAGGCAGTCTGTCAGAACAGAGTTTACACAATTACCTGAGTCAGCTGAGTGTATGCTTGGGTAAACTGTCCCAATTAATTTGTCATCATGCTGTTTTACAAAAGGAGGATGAAACAGATTACTTTTACTTAAATCTTCTTTATCAGGTAAATTGAAATGTAAAGTTCCTGATGCAACATCAGTCTGATTAACAGATCTTAGACAAAGTTTCATATCCTCAGTAACATTCTTATCTGATACACTGATAAGACTTTTGGTTACGTTCAAAGCTCTACAACAAGGAGGACTATCGGGTGTTACAAGACTGCTCGAGTTTTTTAAACACTCTTCTTTATTTTCTACTTCACTGGTAATTTTCTCAACTCTTGAAGTTAGACGAGGAGTGGATAAAGTAGCCGGGTTTTGTCTGCCAGATGGAGATGGTCTTGTTTCCATAAGACGTCGGGCACGGGGAATATACAACTGCTTGTCTGGACGGCGATTACGAACTCTGAAAACGAAAATGAAGCACAAATTAGTAACGAATATCAACAACACAAAGAATAAGAGAGCCTTGAACAAACAAGACTTAATACACCCGATATTGGAGATGCTAACATCAACCGACATAAATTATGTGTCTAAAAAATTGTAATATGGACAAAAAAACAGGAATGATTTAATTTTTGCATTTGTTTTCCCGCTAAAAATACTAAATGCATGATTTTAATTTATCTTGGGTGACTTAATATACATCCAGTTGGAATACGTTTAGACTTGGGCTTGGCAAGAGTTCAGTTTTGGTAACTGTGGTGGTTGACTTTTCCTTCTTATTTTCACCTTTAATTTATGGTTTAAGTAGTAAACCTAGCTAAGACATTTTTTTTTCTTTGGATACATTCATGATACTAATATGGCTAACCCTTCTCTTGATTGGGCTAGCTATCAACATGATTTCTGAATGGCCAATATTTTATTCAGTGTTATGAAAAAACTTGAGTTCGGTTTGAGTACAGCTGCTTAAATGACCACAAACTCAACGGCATCGTCGTTTCAATTCATCCCTATAATAAATTTACTGTATCATGATATAACACACCTGCAAGATGAAAAAAATGAACGGCCATGTTTATAAAGTCATAACGTGGGGTCAAAAATTGGAACAGATGGTATCTCTACAATACTTAGATGACACTAAATTATTTAATTGACAACCAAATGTAAATTTATGTGGAGTTTCATACAGACAGACTCTACAATATTTGATTTGATAAACACAATAACTTATAGAAGAGTTACAAGTAGCATAAGAAGAGTTACGTATGTAGAGATAACTGATATGGGTAACAAACTTTCTATTACAAAATAGAAATATATAAAAACATAACAGCATTTTGACCTCTTTAGGTCATCATAAGGAAAGAAAACCAAACTCTATACAGCTTTTAACTAGCTTTGAGTCATACTCTATACAGCTTTTAACTAGCTTTGAGCCATACTCTATTTCTTCAGCCCAATTGTTCTTTTGTAAATTTTATCCAAAGGTTTCAAAAATGTTGATTGTTTTTTGCATGAAAATGGAGTTCAGAATTTTTGATGCCCATCTGTATCAATGAAAATGTGATATTAATATATATATAACAAAGGATATAACAATACAATACAGTGAAATTTATTTTTATATAATGCACAGAATGTACCTAATGGATTCTTATTTCCACTATCTCTGGAAAAGAAAAGGAATTTTTTAAATTTTCTTATGTCCTTTTTTTTAATAACTTTGGAAGGTTTTAAAGTTTCAACCTGTTCTAAGTAAAATAAAACTTGTGTAAAAAAGCACGAACATCTTAGCAGATCAACGTGTTGTACATACTTCGCTTTACAATCAACACTGTCCTTGTTTCCGCTCTTGGCTCTCATGGCATCCACATCAACACTCTCCTTGTTTCCACTCTTGGCTCTCATGGCATCCACGGTACTTGATTCAGTTGATGTCTGTTCTGCCATGGCAGATAGCTCCAACGGTTGTTCATCTAGATCACTTTAAGAAATACGTTACAAAGGTATATCAAACTGGAACAACATTTACTGAAGTCTGTATCTCCACTATCGTTAAGCCTAATGTTTTTCAGTTAAAAGTCTTTAAATGTTTTATCATAAAACAGTAAAGCAGGATTGGGTAAGTAAGAAAGAAAAACTAACAACAACGAACCAATCTGTATTGATTAAACCTGCTAAAGTTCAGACAAGTTTATTTGGTTTGCTGAATACATCAACGAAAAGGTTGGGACCTAATCACGGCATAAAAAATTTAATCAAATATGTTTTAAGTAAAAACCACTATTATGGAAAGTGTAATTATTCATAGTTTTGATCTAAAACATTTATCAACTTCTAACATTTATATTCATTTGTTGTTGTAGTCATCTTGGTGGTAAATGAATTAACTTGTATTATTTGAATTACTCCATATATATTTGCTGTATATTTATCCCAATACTGATTTCTGGATATATTCAGAGTATGTGCTCACAGCAATTTGGGTTGTTTTATAGAGGTGGTGGGAGGTTTTTGGGGAGCACAAAAGTGTAATGAATGTTACTTGAATTTAAAGTAAGTTTGTGGCTAGCTGTGATTTGATAGAAGAAGTGAACATTACTTGAATTTAAAGTAAGTTTGTGGCTAGCTGTTATTTGATAGAAGAAGTGAACATTACTTGAATTTAAAGTAAGTTTGTGGCTACCTGTGATTTGATAGAAGAAATGAACGTTAC